CTTATTCCTTCCTCTTTAACCACCTGACCTGTAGTTCCTAAAACATGATAAACTCGTGTCTGGAGCCTTCTCATGTGTATTTATTTTGAAGAAAATGCATTGATCAGTGAACACATGAATCTGGTTTATTTGTTACAGCTTCTCATTGTATATCAAGTAATTGGCATTATGATGTATACATCTATCTCTTATAAGTCTAGTTAGTGTATCTGCTCGCAGAGCCAAGACTGAATTTTCCAATCCACAGAGCTAAGAAACAGATTCATGAGAATTAATTCTCTCTGTCCCACTATGGTACTACTGCCCTGAATGGCTTTGCCTAAGTAGCTAGCTTGGCCTTGCTCGAGGGACACATAGCCTTCTTACTATACAACTCTTCAAATGTACCATAATGTGCAAATGTTTTACCTTGAAGTGTTCTTTTTAAAATGATAATGGTAAGAGTGCCTGGGTGACTCAGTCAGTTGAGTGTCTGACTTGAGGTCATGATCCCAGGATCATGGGATCTAGCTCCAGGTCAGACTCTATACTGAGAGTGGAGCCTGCTTAAAATTCTCTTTCTCTTTCCCTCTGCCCCTCTCTCCTACTCATGTTCTCTCTCTAAAATAAATAAGTACGTAAGTAAATAAATAAAATGATAGGGGCACCTGGGTGGCAGAGTCAGTTGGGCGTCCAACTCTTGATTTAGGCTCAGGTCATGACCTTGCGGTCATGAGATCGAGCCCCGCATTGTGTGGAGCCTGCTTGAGATTCTCTCTTTCTTCTTCTCTCTCTGTCCCTCCCCTGCTCACACTCACGATTTCTCTTTCAAAAATAAATAAATAAAATGATAATGCTAAAATCAGTTATTCAAAGCAGGTGAGCAAGTTCATCTACCAAGGTATGAAAACAAAATTCTATTTTGTGAGCTAAAATATTATAATTTTGATTCACTGTATTTTACTCTATTTAGTATATGTGCTTATATCCTAATATAAGAAGCTACCTTTACTCTAACACTAGACCCCAGACTCAGACAGTCATCATGTCTCATAAGAGGTGCGGTATCCTGGAGGAGGGGTGGAGGTGTCTTCCCAAGGAAGGGGTGATGGTGGCACTGACCCTCGTTCATTCTTTCACTTTCTGTGTCATGTGACTTACTGCATCTCACTGGTGTTTGCTTAAGTGGATTCACTGAGAACTAATTCTCACAAAAAACGATATCTGTAAAAAACTGGATTAAAGCCCTTACTAAAATTGCAAGCGCAAGTAAAATAGAAAGGTACCAAGGTCACGTTTCTGATTTCTGGTATAAGCTCTTTATCACCTACATTATAGTGTAAAAATAATGATCTAATAAGATCTGACGTCAGCCAAAAAATGGAAATTTGCAAGACGACTCTTTGAAATACGGATTTCTATCCACTATGATTTATAATTAATTTGACCCTAAATGTATGTTTTGCATTAACATGACAGTTAAATAGCTATTTTTTTCTAATAGTTTATTGTCAAATTAGTTTCCACAGAACACTCAGTGCTCATCCCCACAAGTGCCCTCCTCCATGCCCATCCCCCCTCCCCCCACATCCATCAGTCCTCAGTTTTTGTCATCATTCAAGAGTCTCTCATGGTTTGCTTCTCTCCCTTTCCCCCACCATTTCCCCCCTTCTTCTCCCCCTTGTTACTCCATCAAGTTCCTCCTAATCCTCCTATACGTGCAAACATATGGTATTTGTCCTTCTCTGCCTGACTTATTTCGCTCAGCATAACACCCTCAAGGTCCATCCATGTTGCTACACATGGCCAGATTTCATTGTTTCTCATTGCCATGTAGTATTCCATGGTATAGATAAACCACATCTTCTTGATCCATTCATCTGTTGATGGACACTTAGGCTCTTTCCATGTTTTAGCTATTGTTGAGAGTGCTGTAAATAGCTATTTTTAAAGTGTCATTTTGTGGGTAGTACACTATATACATTGTCTGTGGGTGTTTATAATACAATTAAAAAATCTTAATACAATAAAATCTTAATAATACAATAAAAAACTTTAAAGACCACTAGACTGAATAATGGCACTTGGAAGAAAGTTGACCTCATTCACTCATTATCAAATGACTGAAAGCTAGAATTATTATTTCATAATATCTTTATAGATAAGGTAGAGATTGTGCTTGAAAGTAAGTTATTAATCGCCAGTTTTTTCTAGACCATCGGGGCTTTTCAGTTTGAGAAATTTGGGAAGAAGTACCCAGTAATGACTCTAGAATCAGAGTGCTTGGCTGTTAAACGATGTGCTAGTCATTGCTAGTTACAGCCTGGGGGAAGTTAGTTAACCTACCTCAGCTTCCTCAACTATAGAATCAGAATAATATTAGCACTTTTTGCATAGGATTATTTTTAGGATTAAATCAGTTAATATATATGAGTTTAGGTTGGTGCCTGGCATTTAATAAGTGCTCAATGAATGTTAATGAATAGTGTTAACCAAGCTTTGATTAAGTTTGGAAAAACAAAAAACCCTTGCTATCTACCGCCTTAGCCAACAGGGGTCAGTACACAGCAATCTACATGGGGAAGCTAAATAAAATGCTTAATGGGTGTAAGAAAAGATTTTTCAGTGCTTGAGGAAACATCGATGCTTCTGAAAATTTTTGTAAAAGGGTATTAAGAAAAATTGGCAACCACAAAATTAAGCAACTAGTGAGAAATAGAGGGTGAGAAAAAAGTCAAAGACCTTAAAGATAATTAAATAATACATATATTTAGACTGTCTAAAAGCAATTTAAAACACAGAAGGACATCGTAAGTGGGAATGCTCCAAAGTAGAGGCCTTGAGAATTCTGATGAATAATGCACCATCTTGCCAGCAAGAGCAACTTGCTCACTGAAGTTACCAAGTATGCATTTCAAGTTCTACCTTGATGTTTGGGGGATGGGAGAGGGGATCAACCTTGTGATTTTCCCATTATATAACAACAATGTTACTGCTTATTGAGTGCTCACTATCTGCCCAGTGCTTTACAAATATCACCATTTTTGAGGGCACCTGGGTGACTTAGTCGATTGAGCGACTGACTTTGGCTCAGGTCATAATCTCATGGTTTGTGAGTTCGAGCCCCGCATAGGGTTCCCTACTGTCAGCACAGAGCCTGCTTCGGACCTTCTGTTCTCCTCTCTATCTGTCCCTCCCTCACACCTGCTCGTGCTCTGTTTCTCAAAAATAAATTAAAAATTAATAAAAAACACAGATATCACCATTTTTCTTTGTTTACTTTTTGACATGAAAATGTTCAAATATATAGAAAAGACAATAAGAAAATGAACATCCATAATTGAACACTTAACACTTTCCATATTCCAACTTTTCTAAATTATTTAAAAATAGATAGCAAATATTTTACACCTAAGTACATTAGTATGTATATCTAAAAATAGAGCTATCTTTCCATATAACACAAGGCTATTATCATACCTAACAAAAAAAGCAATCGTTTATACCATCTCATCCCCTACTTTGTATTCAGATTTCTTAATTGTCTCCAAAATATCTTTTATATCTGGTTTACTGAACCAGAATCAAGGACAAGCCATTGCATGTAGTTATCATGTCTCTTAGTTTCTTCAACCGCCATCCGGCTGCTTTTTTTCTTTCTTTCTTTTTCTTTTTTCTTTTTTTAATTACACCAGCTTAATTTAAGAGACAGCCATTTGTTCATTTGCTCTGCAGGATATCCCACCATTTGCTCAGGATTTTTCTGATTGTTTCCTCTTGGTGTCATTTCTGTTCTTCTATCCTTGTAGTTCCTGCTTATGCTTGATTATACAGAAGTGAAAGAGTTTGGGAAACAATACTTCACAGACCATACTGGTGCTTCATATTTATTCATATCAGGAGATATGTCAGGTTCGTACACTATTAGTGATTATAAGATTGATCTAGGTTACGGTGGGAGGGACCAGATTTCTTCATTGTCATTATGTTTTTCTTCTGACTACAGCGAGTAATCCTGGGGCGATAACTTGGTCCTATGTGAATATTCTGTTCGCTATTACCCTTTCACCAAATGGTTTCATTGATGATCCTGGCATAAATCAGTTATTTCATTAGGGGCTACAAAATGGTGATTTTCTCATTCTGTCATTCATTTTACATTATTTAGCTGGCATACTTTTGTAAAGAGAACTGTTTCCTCATTAACTGGAACTATTTGGTTACCCCTGAAATATAGCTGCAAGCAGAAGGGTAGAATAAATGTTTAATTGGTTTTCTTAAGTTACCACTTTTCAGAGTAAAGAGTTGCTGTAATAGTCACAATGGCAAATGAGGTTTTTAAAAACTGTTTTTTATATTTGGTTTACTCTTTTTTACATCTGACATTTTCAGTCCATTGCAGTCATTATTTTTGGGACTCAGATTGTTCTACTTTTGGCCAGTGGGCACTCCTTCAAGCTGGCTCCAATATCCTTCTAAAAGGACCTCATTTTTCTGGGATAATTCCAGACTTTCTGTCACAAGATGTTCCAAGCGCTCCGATTCATTCCCAGCTTTTGACCTGGCAGAAACCATTTCTCCAACGATCCCTGGTACGTTTTAGTGAAGAGTGGTATTTAGAAATCAAAATCTGGGTACCAAGGATAGCCATTGCCCTGAGTTCAAACTAATATTTTCATTTCAAAGTTTAAGGCTGTAACGTTTTATTTCGTTCTTATACTTTTATATCTTATTTTACACCTAGTTTTTGCACCTAATAGCGTTAACAAAACTTTTTTTTTTTTTTTTTTTTTTTNTTAATTTCTAGGAGAGAGAGAGACAGCATGAGCAGGGGAGGGTCAGAGAGAAAGGGAGACACAGACTCTGAACTAGGCTCCAGGCTCTGAGTTGGCAGTCAGCACAGAGCCCGACGCGGGGCTCGAACCCACGAACCCCGAGATCATGACCTGAGCGAAAGTCGGACGCTTAACCGACTAAGCCACCCAGGCGCCCCCAAAACTATTCTTAAAGTACTTAAACCAACTCTGTGAGATTGGGGAACATAAGTTATGTAACCATGATCCTAATTTATATTAAAATCCCTATTTTAAAAGGAGCAAACAGATGAGAGATGCCCAAGCTCATGTGGCCAGTAAACGGCAGCATCGGGATTTGAACCCGACTCGCTACTGCCGTCGGGGAAAGGAGTCCCAGACTTGCCGAGGGGCTTCTCCACGCAGATGATCAGGGCTGGGGCAGTCGGACCCAGCCTATGGAGGGGACAGACCCGTGGTGACCGACTGCTCCAAACCCGCAGGGCGGGACGGGAGAGAGCTGCCAGGGGAAGGAACCGTTTGGGGGTGCGGCCACGGCAGCTGTTTCGCTTCAGGGGTGCCCAGTGCTCTCTCAAAAGCACCCACAGCCAAGAAACCACACTTATGCCACCTGAAGCTGAAAACACAAGCCCAGGACGCTGGCGACGCGACCCCCGCACCCAACGCACCGGACCTGACCCACCTCCGCGTAGCGCCCGCCCACTCACCAATCAGAGGGATTCTGATCGGATCCCCAGAGCACAGGGGCGGGACAACAGAGGATCATGTCCAATGAGGAATCGGTTCCCTGTCGCCTCAGGACTGAGTACTTCAGAATCCTAACTGGAGAATGGAGAGGAGGCGGTGGGCTTGGCCAATCAGAGGGAGTGACTCAACATTTGTGACCGATAGCCAATCAGAAGAGCGGTGGCATCTGACTCTCCGGGCCCACGCTTCCCGCCTTTCCCCTAACTCAAGAGTCGCCGGCTCGCTGGCCACTAAAGTTGGGGCGCTCCCAGACCTCTCCTCACAGTCTTACCGCCGACACCGCTGCTGTGCAGGTGTCCGGGTGGAACATGGCGAACTCGGGCTGTGAGGACCTGCGGGACCAGGAGGGGGAGAGTTTTCTGTACTTCGCCTACGGTAGCAATCTGCTGACCGAGCGGATCCACCTCCGAAACCCGTCGGCCGCGTTCTGCTGCGTGGCTCGCCTGCAGGTCAGTGCTCCCCGCGGCCCCTGCGGACGAGGGGGCAGGATTTCGAGAGGTCGCTTTCTCAGGGCCGGGAAGACACCTCTTGCTGATGAGAGTACGTCCGAGCTCTCTTCGCCGTCCTGGGTTCTGCGCGCCTGGGTCCCCTAGAGTCCCCTCCTGACTTTCCCCATAGGCTGCCCGTTCTGCCCAGGTCCGGCCGCCCCTCTCGTGCCCCCCGCCCCCGCCGAAGGGCCACGCTCACAGGATCCATTCGCTTGCTTGGTGTCTCTGAGGCGCCTTCCCCGACCCCAAGGCCGGAAATCAGTTGCTTTCCGTTCACCCCGCACCTTTGCTGCAGGACTTGTCACCTGCTGTTTGTAAAACTCCAGTCACCGGCCTTTCGCTCCTGATCCGAGAGGTCCTGAAAGCTGGCACCGTGTCTCATCCGTAGTGAGCGCTGAGCCCAGCCGAGTCCAGTGTCTGGATGCACCATAACCCACCTGGGTAAAAATCACTGCTCTGCGCTACAGTCCGTTGGTTCATTTGGGATAGTCTTCCCTGTAGATACAAAGGTGATTGAGTAAACACAAGCAAAAAAACCAAAGCCCTGTGCGAAACCTTTTGACACTGTTGAGTTAGACAAGCATGGTCTCTGGTGTTGTCAGGGCTCTTAGTTGCAAGCAACAGAAAGTGGCTGATTTAAGCAGAAGAAGAATGCGTTGAAAAGCTGTCGGAGGGCTCGCGGAATGACCAGGAAGGTAGGACTACAGAGCTGATCGCACAGGCAGGTATAGGGGCGCCTGGCTGACTCAGTAGGTGGAGCATGCAACTCTTGATCCTAGGCTGATGAGTCCGAGCCCCGTTTTGGGTTGCGGAGCCTACTTAGAAGCCCGCGCACACGCACACACAAAGGCGTAAATTTAGGAAGGCATAGCGACCACAACACAGTATCACAGACAGAACCCCCCGGTTCTGAGGCCGCCCGTGCACCACTGCTGAGTGTGGTAAACATGGACGCTGCAACGTGCATCACCCACACTATCTGCTCTTGGCCTTGCCTGGGCTGCCGTCACCACACCCCTGCAGTTCCTGAAACCTAGATGTGGCCATCACTTCCAAGGTGTCGTGTCCACAGTCCTTGGGCACTAGCTCCAGCTTCTGATTCAAAGCCCCGGATGGGTGTCCCACTGGCTTACTCTTGGCCATGTGCCCATGCCCTGACTACAGGCAAAGCTGGGAGAACCAACTTTTGGCCTTGAAGCTTCAAAAATGGGAGGTGGGCTCTAGAACTTTCTACCCACCTCCCTCACCCCCAGACTCATAAGGTAGGAAATTGCCCAAATGTGGAAAAGAAGTTCAGATACTTATAGTTGGGACAAATGGAAGAGCTATCAGGCAAATGATTATTCAGTTACAGATATGGTGAGTTTAAAAAGGAGACATGTTGTACCTCCCTCTCAGTTAGCTGTGAACCTAAAACTGATCTTTTTGAAAAATGAAGCCTTTAAAAAAAAAGAAAAAGGGAGATGTTAGGTGCTATGGGAGTGTATGACTTGGGGTCCTGACCCTAGAGCTCAGTAAAGCTCTTCCTGAAAATATGACTTTGAAGCTGAGACCTGGATGTTTGGGCAGGGAGAGGCAAAGAAAATAGAAGGAACAGCATGTACAAATGTCCTCAGGAAAGAAGAAGGTAGATCTTCCCAGCCGCTATGGTTGGAGTTTAGTGTGCGAGGAAGATAGAGAATGATGGCTAGAGAGGAAGGGTCACATGTTACAGCACCACAGAAGACTTTGGTTTTTATCTTGAGAGCTATGAAAAGCCCTATTGCAGAATTTCAGCAAATGAGAGATCAGATTCACAACTTTGAAAGCTCATTCTGGTTACTACGGAAAATGGACTGGAAGGGAGGACAACAGTGAATGCGGGAAGCCCACTTAGAAAGATTTTGAAGCAATTTATGAAAAAGGTGATGTCGGGGCGCCTGGGTGGCTTAGTCGGTTAAGCGTCCGACTTTCGCTTAGGTCATGATCTCACGGTTCGTGGGTTCGAGCCCCGCGTCGGGCTCTGTGCTGACTGCCAGCTCAGAGCCTGGAGCCTGTTTCAGATACTGTATCTCCCTCTCTCTCTCTGACCCTTCCCTACTCATGCTGTCTCTCACTCAGGAATAAATAAAACATTAAAAAAAATTTTAAAAAGAAAAAGAAAAAGGTGATGGCACCTTGAACTGGAGCAGTAGCAGTAGAGGGTAGATGGCTTTGGGAGATATTTAGGAAATAACAGTGTTAAGCTTTGGTGACTGATTGTGAAGGGAGGAGGAGGTAACAGGGGTGACCGAGATTTTTGGTGCAATAGGATGGATGATGGTGATGTTTGTTAAGAGAAGAGGCACATCAGTTTGGGAAGGAAAGTTAAGCTCGGTTTGAACATACTGAGTTTGAGATGCTTCTTATACAGCCAAATGAGCAGAAAAATATTAGTGAGCATTTATTAAGTATTCACTGCCTGGTCGGCCCTGTTCTAAGTACTTTTGAAGTTTAGAAGAGAGATCTGGGCTGGATTAAAAGAATTGGAATGCTGGATGGTATTTGAAGTCATTAGAGGTGATGGACCATCTTGAGCAAATTGTTAATAAACAGAGAAAGGGGCCTAAACTGAGCCTCAGAAACTCTATCATCTAAAGACCAGGAGGAGGACTTAGCAAAGGGAATTGAGATCAGGGAACAGTCCGAAGTCAGGAAGAGGCAGATCAAGATGGGGTGGTTAATATGTCAGAAGCCGCAGAAAAGTGGAGCAGTAGGAGAAATGAAGATTGTCTATTGGATCTAGTAATAGACAGCCAGGACCTAGTGTGGTTGTAACTTGTCATCAGCTCTCCTAAAGTCCTGCCAGGGCTGCCTGCTCCTAGAATATCCAGTACACCAGCTGAAGGTGCTCAAACCAGCCTTCTTCCTGAGGGGCTGACATGTTTAAGAAAATAAAGGTGACAGAGATAAATTATTAACCTTAGATTTAGTATCTAGTGCAACTTTTTTTAATATTAAGGAAACTAAGCTCTGGAAAGATGGGAAGAAATTTTCCTACACCACAAACAGCCAAGGAAGGGTTTTTTATTTTCCCCAGGATTATCTCCTCTGATTATGCATCCCTAAGAGGGAGGAAGCAAAACTAGAAACCTGGCTCCATTATTTATTAGTTGTGAGACCTTGGACAAGTTGTTTGATAAACTATACTTTTTCTTGCTGTTAAGTGAGTACGATAAAGTTGTTGGCAGGATAAAAATGAGAGCCCGTGTAAAGCTCATAGCACAGTGTATATAGTATATAATCTAGTAATGTTCTAGTGTTAGCTGCTGTTAATGATTATTATAGATATAATAATATAATTCATGTATGTTCGATTAATAAGTATATAAAACACCCTCAAATGCCTACTTCTTGAGGGTAAAAGTACTGATATATGCTGTTAGGGTACTCTCTACATACATAAAAGAGGAGAAAAGGTTATAACCCCTGCATAGCTACCCATCTTCAATAATTATGTGTACTATGGTTGCCTCTAAGTTAAAATCTATGTGTATGTAGGCAGACTGGGAAGTACTTTCCAAAAATGAAAGTAGTTGTATTAAGGCATTGGGAATACGGGGTTTTTTAAACCTTTAAACCTGTTTATGGTAAGATATGTATACATAATATGTTCAGCATATGTTTTATTTTTAAAGAAGAGTATGAAAAAATAGTCCTTGAGATCTGGGTCCTTGTTTATCTTTGTATTTTTTACAGTTTCTTATGCAGAGAAGGAACTCAAATTTTATGTTTTAATTGCATGGAGTTCAAGGTAAATTTTTTTTTATTTTGAGAAGGGATATTTTGGTTCAAGTGGATATTGATCATATCTTTTTTATTTCCTTTGTAGGATTTTAAGCTTGACTTTGGCAATTCCCAAGGCAAAACAAGTGAAACTTGGCATGGAGGTATAGCCACCATTTTTCAAAGTCCTGGCGATGAAGTATGGGGAGTAGTATGGAAAATGAACAAAAGCAATTTAAGTTCTCTGGATGAGTAGGTGGCTTCTAATTATAAGTTAAATAATAACTAATTCAGAAAGTGGATCATATGCAAAGATATATAAATGTGTGTTGGTTTTTCAAACCATGTACTACATTCTTTACACTTTAAAGTTAACATAAAAGGTATACATTTCCTAAAAAGAAAAGCCTAGGCGTGCAATTCTTGATCTTAGGGTTGTGAGTTCAAGCACCAAGTTGGGCACAGAGTTTGCATTTAAAAAAAAAAATCCTAGAAGGGTCACACTTTTTCTTTTTAAGTAGGCTTCATGCCCAATATAGAGCCCAATGTGGGGCTTGAACTAACGATGCTGAGATCAAGACCTGAGCTTAAATCATGAATTGGACACTTAACCAACTAAGCCATCCTGATTGAGATTTGGGGAGGATGTTTATAATCTCTTCTGTAAAAAATGGAAGTCCTTATTATTGTTCTTTTTGTCTTTTGTAGTTTCATGTTGTGAAAAGGCACAAAGATATTTGTAATTATTCTATCTTTTTATTGGTTTCAAAGTAGTTCCATTTTTATTAGAGTCAGTTTTTCTTTTGTTTTTTGTGTGTTTTGTTTTGTTTTAGAGTCAGTTTTTAAAAAACAGTTCTTTAAGGTGGCAGTTGTATCAGTAAACAATAATAATTAAAAACTCTGACAACATATTAGAAATGCTTTGATACATTTTTATACCTAGAACCCTCAAGAGTTGTATTGTAGAGCATTTATACAAAGAAAGCTGGCAGAATAGAGTAGGACTTGATAAGAACAGGTTATCTGACATGCTTCATACTTTATGTCACTGGTGAGTAAGAGTGAACCATTCTCTCTACTTAACTTCTCTCTGGGCAGATATTCTCTTGCTGCGAGAACACAGATGTTTTTTTGTAGCCTAGAGAACAATGTTTGGGGGGGTATAAAGATTGAAGTAACTACATTCAAGCATGTTTTCAGATAGAATAAATATAGAGATCTGTTAGAAGTATACCAATTAATAGTAAGTCTGAGGCTTTCTAATTGAAATGCTAAGTTTACTTTTGATGTGGTAATATTTATAATACATTCTACTCTATCCTCAAATACATAGGGAGGACATATATTCATAGACAGTTAAATTTTTAATTCAGTAAACTAACTTGGCTAATTTACATATAGTTAAAATTTGGCTGTTCGGGTTTTCAGGCAAGAAGGAGTTAAAAGTGGAACATATGTCCCAATAGAAGTTAATGTTTATACTCAAGAAGGAAAAGGAATAATTTGCCGAAGTTATCAGATGAGAAATTATGAGAGTGCACCCCCGTCTCCCCAGTATAAAAAGGTAAGCTACTAACAAAGACTTTCAGCAATTCCGTTTTAATTTTCACTGAGCTAATCTAAAAAATATGGTTTTTTTTTTTTAAATATTTTTATTTATTTCTAGGAGAGAGAGAGACAGCGTGAGCAGGGGAGGGTCAGAGAGAGAGGGAGTCACAGACTGAAACAGGCTCCAGGCTCTGAGCTGGCAGAGTCAGTGGGTTCGGGGCTCGAACCCACGAACCGCGAGATCATGACCCAAGCAAAAGTCGGACGTTCAACCGACTAAGCCACCCAGGCGCCCCAAAAAAATATCTTGTTTTAAAAAGACTTTGTGTGTGTTAAATTCTACATGAACACTTCTTTTTTTTTTTTTTTTAATGTTTATTTATTTCTGAAGAAGAGAGAGAGACAGAGTGTGAGTCGGGGAGGGACTAGGAGAAAGGGAGACGCAGAATCCAAAGCAGGCCTCAGGCTCTGAGCTATCAGCATAGAGCCTGATGCAGGACTTAAACTCACAAGATGTGAAATCATGACCTGAGCTGATGTCAGACACCCAATCAACTGAGCCACCCAGGCACCCCATGAACACTTCATTTTAATCGAAATGTTTTTAATGCAAATATGGCATTTACCTAACATGCAAATTGAAAACTGTTCAGATTTATTTGTAATGTTACAACCATGTTCTTAAAACATATTTATTTAAAAAAAAAAAAGCTTTTAGAAACATACATGAGCCATAATTCTAGACATGTATTTTCTTTCCGAAAGTAGAAAATAACACATATATGTGTATTTTTAGATTTATTCTATACATAGACTTTTGTAATCAGTTTTTTCTTCTACAAAACAGTATTTCATAGCACTGAGATTTGTTTTTATGGAGAAAAAAATACATTTCCTACTGCTGAAATGTTTCCACCCGTGGATGGAGGGAAATAAGTCACACCGTGTTTCAAAATCAGAGAAACCACTCCCACAGCATAGAAAAAGAATGTGCGATAGAAACCCCCACCATCCCTTTTTAGAAACCGAGACTTAGGTGCTATTGGAAGGCCCAATCAGGACATAGCACCTGGAATGAATGACTCAGTTCCTGGGCCTAATCTGAAATTGTCTAGTATGGAGCCTAGGTAAGTTAGCTTCGTATGGATCTGGGAAGTAACACTGAACATAGTTGCCATTTATTCCCTTGTGTAATTCAGAGGTAGCGTAGACTCTAGGATTAAACTAAAACTGCTCCCTATAAACATAAATTTAAAAAAAAAATTTTTTTTTTTTTATTGTTTATTTCTTTTTGAGAGAGAGATAGCAGGAGCAGGGGAGGGGCAGAGAGAGAGGGAGACACAGAATCTGAAACAGGCTCCAGGCTCTGAGCTGTCAGCACAGAGCCTGATGTGGGGCTTGAACTCACTAACCGTGAGATCATGACCTGAGCCAAAGTTGGATACTTAACCGACTGAACCACCCAGACGCCCCAAACTATAAATTTTTTTGAAGAATGGTGTTTTTTCTTAACAGACCATGCCAATTTTATACAATAATTTTTTGCCTTAACATAAAAAATATTTTAAATTAGTTGGAATAACTAGAATCAAAAACACAAGAAATAACCAATGTTAGTGAGGATGTGGAGAAAAAGGAACCTTGATGCACTGCTGGTGGGATTGCAAACTTGTGCAGTGACTGTGGAAACCAGTATGGAGGTTCCTCAAAAAATTAAAAATAGAACTATCATATGATCCAGTAATTTCACTACTGGGTATTTACCCAAAAAAAACTAAAACATTCATTTGAAAAGATATATGCACCCCTATGTTTATCACAGCATCATTTACAGTAGCCAAATTATGGATGCTATCCAAGTGTCCATGAGTAGTCAATAATTATGGATAATTAAGACGAGGGGTGTGGGTGTGTGTGTGTGTGTGTGTGTTCACTATATATATATAGTATATATACTACATCACTATATATATATATATATATTACTCAGCCATAAAAAAGAATGAGATTTTGGAACAACATGGATTGACCTAGGGTTTAATGGTAAGTGAAATAAATCAGAGAGAAAGAGAAATATCATAGGATTTCATTCATATGTGGAATTTATGAAACAAAACAAATGAACAAACAGAAAATACCCAGACTCTTAAACACAGAGAACAAACTGGTGCTTGCCAGATGGAGGTGGGGGAGGTGATGGGTGAAATAGGTGAAGGGAATTAAGAACACACTTATCATGATGAGCACTGAGTAATGTAAAGAACTGTTGAATCATTATATTGTGTATCTGAAACTCATATAGCACTGTATGTTAATTATACTTTAGTTTGTAAAAATATTTTAAATCCTGTTATTGAGTAAAATTAATACTCCATGAAGATGTGTCACGTGGCTCTGAAAACTTCCAGCACATTCACACTCACTTTGAGAGGAATGACTCTGTCTCTGTCTTTTGTCCTATAATTATTCTAGAGTTACCTGAAAGCTAATATTTCATACTTGATACTACACATGAAGCTATGGTATATTAAATTATGTTCCTAACTAAAAGGCTGTTTGTTTTTTTAGGTCATTTGCCTAGGTGCAAAAGAAAATGGTTTACCGCTGGAGTATCAAAAGAAGTTAAATGCAATAGAACCAAATGACTACAAAGGAGAAGTCTCAGAAGAAATTGAAGACATTATCAAAAAGGGAGAAAAAAAACTCACTAGAACATAATAGAATATATCTACGGATATTTTCTGTATGTGCTAATATATTTTTAACGTATAGAACAGGGATCTGAGGTATCTCTGTGTTTAATATATTTTCAACAGTGCTCTGAAGGGATATCTTACTAAGGTGATTCCTTGTTTTTAGACTATAAAAAGAAACTAGGTTAGGGATTAGATGATAGGAAAGGGGGCCATCAGGCACTGGAATGCATGATAAATGGATGTAGGTACTCCTTCTGTGAACACTTAAAGTTATTTTCTGGATTTGAGTGTATCCTTGCTCTGTGACAAAGGAGAGATTTGCAACTTAATGATCGTGCTGGTGAATTGCTCTGCTCTGGGATTTTTTTATCAGCTTAATAGGAGCAAACAAACTGCAGAGACAGCTGATAATAATTTTTTTAAATTTAAAAATGGCATACTGTTCTTAGAGAAATAAATATATTTGTGCTTTCACCTGTATTCCCTACTAAAGTACTGTATTTCACTTTGTTGTTAGAAACTGATATCATCACACATACTGGGTCTGGTGTGGGCTCTACACAGTCTATACTAGAGGATTATTGCACAGACTCTAGAACCAGACAGCCTAGGATCAATTAACAGTTCCACCATGTTCTAGCTGGGAGACTGGGTTTTTTTTTACGTTGTGCCTCAGTTTCCTCATCTATAGAGTAAGGGCAGGTGGAACACATGTGTCTTAGGATTGTTTTGAAAAGTAAATATATGTAATGAGCTTAGAACAGAGCCTGATATATAATAAGTATTAGAAATCACTAATGTTCTTATTAAAGAATTAAGTTTATACAGAGCCATCCTTGGAACAGTATTTTAAAGTAGAAGAGTCAAGATTATGAGGGAAAACGTTTTATGGAAGCTCCAATTTGACTCTAGCCTTCTTAAATTTATTTACTGAGCAGTTGGAGGAAAGAAGAGTCATGAATAAAACAGCACTGGTTATCACAAAATCAGATCTCTGGAATGTAGTGAGCTGGACTTTTGAAACAGGTTCTTGGAATGAAGTGAGCTAGCTGCAGGAATGTAAAATAAAGATTTGGTTTGTTCTCTTGGATAAAATAACCAAAGAACTTGTCAGCTACAGTTGCTGTAGTGGAACTGAACCATAGACTTCAGGTTAGATCATGTTTTATAGCTCTTACACTCACTGTTTTCAATATTCTAGTTTTCTCCAGTTCTTAATTCCTCCCAAGAAGACCAAGTTTCTCAGTACCCAGAACTCAGCTATAGTAATATAGTGAGCAAGGCTTAGTTTTGATGTAAAAATAGAATATTACTTGAGTAATCTATCTCACCCACTTAAAATGACAACTTTCATTACGGAATTTAAAACATGAACAATAAAAGCTTCATGTCTGGCCTTTTGACAAAAATCTGGTAATCATGAGGAGTACTGCTTTTCCAGTCCTTTTCAAGGTAGTAATACCAATTGTCATAAACAAGGTATTTGCATTTCTACCAGTGATTTGTGACCCTCCAACTACAATACAAACAACTCCTGGATAAACTGTAACAGTGTTTGAAAAGCATTTCTGGGCTTGCAAGAAAATAAGGAAAATCTTCAAGGTATACTAATCCCTTTCCCACAAAAGGAAAGAAAAACTGTTTTCTAGCTGACATCGTTGGGTACAAATGCCAATAATAGCCCTGGAATTTGACTATTAACCCTTGAGCAATCCTGCTGCAGGACAGAAAAACCACCTGAGAATTCTGTATGCAACTAGGACACTTGCAGAGAACTAAAATGATCCCTAATTTGTAAGATTTGTGACTCCCAGCAGAGGCAAATGCAAATCGTCTCTGAAGAAACCAATTCTAATTTAGGTCCTCAGAATGGCCACCTAAAAAAATTTAAGATAAGGAAAATGATATAAATGAGAACAGAAAAAACATCTTGATCCCCAAGGTTTTGAGATACTGATCAAAAACAGTGTAAGTATATATAGAGACTGACTTCTGAAAAAGTGGAGTAGACCTACTCTTCCTTATTCTGTTAGTTAAGCACAACTAATAAAACAAGACTCTAAAAGAGGGAGAGAAAGACTAGCCAGGGACCTCAGGACCCGAGACAACATAGCACTGGACTTTCTCAGGCTTATAGATGAAGAAGCCAGCAATCTGAAAGGACCTACGAATTCAGACAAGCAAAACAAGAAAAACCTACTCTGTAGTCAAAGGACTAGGAAATGGACAATCTAGCAAAACAAAACTTTCAGAGAATACATGTTCTCCAGCCAAACACTACAAAGAAAAATTATGTATCCTCCCATGTCTACCCATGCCAGGAAAAGTCAAGAGGGGAGACTTCTACCCCCACTCCCTCTAGGTCACCCTAACATTGTCCCCTACCACACCACCAGGGTAGTGTCAGAAAGGGCTGAGTGGGAAGCCATCCAGCAATAATAGGCCCTCCCTCTTCCCCTACCCTCCATAGTGTCAGTGGAGACCATGCAGGGAGCATGGACTTCAACTGCCCATCTGGCAGTAACAAGCTGCCTCCCTCTCTCCTGGGATGGTGTCAGACGCCAAGTGGTAGGTCAGGACTTTCATCATCACCACCCAGTAGTAAAAATGCCACCCTTCCCTGTTATGTTAATGAAGGCCATATAGTGGGCAGTGAATAGGCATTCCTACTCCTAGGAGCTGGGAAGGTACCAGTGGAGGCTTACTGGGGAGTTGGAACTCCCACTTCCAGGCAGCAGTAACAAGGTACACCCTTGGGTAACAACAATAGCTAAGTGGCAACCTGAACTTCTGCCTCCATTTAGCAATATCAAGCCAATGACCCTTGCCTTCTGCTGGAGTGGTTTCAGATTAAATTAGCTAAAGTAGATCTCAGTAAGATCCACAGGCTTATAATTTCCAGAATGTCAAGGTTTTCAGTGAAAATCACTCCTAAGAACCCAGAAGCTCTTAAACTAAATGAGAAAAGATCATCAGTAGATGCCAAAACAATTATGTTAGAGGAAAGAACTGTAAGATAGGACAATAGAAATTGCACTATCTAGCAGAGAAAAAAACAGACTAACAGCCTCAAGTACTCATGGAGCTATAACAGATGATCTAGCATTTGTGTCATGAGAGACTCAGAAGGAGAGGAGTAAAAAAGAGGTAAAAAAAGGATAGGAGAACGGGCAGACTGAAAAAGTACCCACAGAAATAATGTCTTACATGTACCAAATTTGGCAAAAGACATAAACCTATACATTTAAGAAGCTGAGTGAAGCCATGACAGTTTCATGTAGTTTAATCTAACTTCCCTAACTCTCAAATTTGTGGGTAGAATTAGCAATAGTGTACATAAAATGCCCAGCACAATGTCTGATATACAGCCGTTGCTTATTAAGCAGTAGTTAACATTAGAAGGAGGTGGAGGAGGAGCTGAATGAACCCCAACAAGCCCAAAGAAATCCACACCAGACACTTGATAGTCAAACTTGTAAAAACTAACTACAAAAATTCTGGAGGGCAGCGAATGAGAGATGATGCCTCACCTACAGAAGAAACAATTCAAATGACACCAGATTTCTCATCAGAAACCATGAAAGCCAAAAGGAAGTAGCACATTTTTCAAGTGCTAAAAGAAAAGTGTCAAATCAGAATCCGGTGAAAATAGCTTGTGTGAGTAAAGGAGAAAATTAAGACACTCTCAGATGAAGGAAAACTAGAAATATTGTTGCTAGCAGACCGACCCTACAAGAATAGCTGAAGGAGGTTTTCTAAGGAGAAAGGAAGAAATTTTAAAAAGGAACTGGAACATGAGAAAGGATAAAAAACATGGTAAGCAAAAATATGAGTAAATACAATAGACTTCTCTTGAGTTTCTGAAATAATGGTTGAAGCGAAAATTTTAATGTTGTGGTTCTAAATATATATAGAAGTAATAATATAATAATAAGTAGAAGTAATATTTAAAAAAAGAGGAAAGTAAAGTAAGGTTTCTACTGGTAAAATGACACCAGTAGACTGAAAAATTATATATATTATATATAATATATAATACATATATGATATGTATTATATATACACATATATAAATATAAAAATATATATATACACATATATACATTTATCTACACATATATATAGTAATAGCTAGAGAAACAGCTAAAACAAGTTATGCAAACTAATATACCAAAAACACTATAAATAAATAAAAATGGAATTCATTGGGGTGCTTGGGTGACACAGTCCGTTAAGTGTCTGACTTGATCTTGGCTCAGGTCATGATCTCATGGTTCAGGAGTTCAACCCCCACATCAAGCTCTGGGCTGATGGCGTGGAGCCTGGTTGGGATTCTGTCTCTCCTCTCTGCCCCTTCCCTGCTTGTGTGCATATACTCTGTGTGTGTGTGTCTCTCTCTCTCAAAATTAAATATTAAAAAAAATTTTATATAGAATTCAAAAAAATGTTCCAGCAACCTACATAAAGTCATAGAAAAGAGAAATGAAAACCAAATATAAAACAAAAAAAATGGCACACTTAAACCCCAACATACCAATAATTAAATTCAATAAATCTCAATATACCAGTTAAAACACAGAAATTGGCAGAGCGGATTAAAAATATGACCCAACCTTATGCTGTCTACAAGAAACTCACTTCAAGTGTAACAATATAAGCAGTTTGAAAGTAAAGGGTTGAAAGATATATATGCTATAAACATTAATCAAAGAAAAGAATGTGTGGCTATATTAATATCAATATATAAATATATCCATATATAAATATTAATATTTTTAATTTTAAAAAGTAGATTTTGAAGCAAAGAAAATTATCAGAGTCAGGGGGCATTATGGTAACCCTTACCAATTCATTCTCTGAAGCTAGTATTACCCTGGTACCAAAACCAGACAAAGTAATATTCCATTGTATTATTTATATATAGAATATATATTATATTGGTACCTATCATCTATCTTGGCTATCATAAGTAATGCTTAACTATTTATCATCTATCTTGGCTATCGTAGGTAATGCTGAAATAAACATAGGAGTGAATATACCTTTTTGAATTAGTGGGTTTTTTTTAAATATTTATTTTTGAGAGAGAGATAGAGACAGCATGAGCAGGGGAGGATCAGATAGAGAGGGAGGCACAGAATCTGAAACAGGCTCCAGGCTCTGAGCTGTCAGCACAGAGCCCGATGCGGGGCTCGAACCTATGAACCATGAGACCATGACCTGAGCCTAAGTCGGACGCTCAACCGACTGAGCCACCCAGGCGCCCCTTGAATTAGTGTTTTTGTTTCCTTTGCATAAATACCAAGTAGTGGAATTACTAGATCATATGGTAATTGTTTTTAATTTTTTGAGGAAACTCCATACTGTTTTCCACAGTGGCTGCACTAATTTGTGTTCTCACCAACAGTGCCCAAAAGTTCCCTTTTCTTCACATCCTCACCAACATGTATTATTTCTTATCTTTGTGATTCTAGCCATTC